TTAAAACTAATTTATCATTGAGGTGGCCTCCACTATAAGTTTGCTGTTATTCTAAGGTCTAATCATCCTATCAAAGTTGTTGTACTAATTAAAATGGTATGGTAAATTCTGCATCAGACCAGTGGCCAATGCAGCCGGAGCTTATCCCGGTTTCTATAGAATTAGGCATGCACTAGGAGTTTTTCTTCTCCCCTCTCAGTGAATGTTTGCTATAGTCCATAACAAGGTTATCCCCCAGCATTAAATTCACCGGTACCCATATATATACACCTCGGTGGAGACAGGCACTGTGAGAGCTGAGTGAAGTGTCTTGTCAAAGAACACAACACAATGTAAGAAAGTTTAAGCTTAATAATGTAAAGTTAATTAAGTTACCTCTCGATTTCTTGTTGGTGGAGCGAGATTTCTTCCAGCGAAAAGATCTCGCAGTTGTTGTGTTCGGCTCTCTTCCGAAGTAAATCCTCCGTTACTGTTTTATAAGGAAATAATTAATGATGGTTAGTAAACAAAATTTAAATGGAACTGCTTTTTCTCGCCAGTGATTTTTCATTAAATCTTACTTCGAACCATCTTCCCTTGTCAAAGTCGCTAATCTGACAGGCGTTCTCGCTGTCGCACATTGTAACCAGGCCAGTTATGTAGCCATGCCCGTCTCTATGGCAACAGTTGTTTCTACAACTAGACATACACTTGCTAAGACTTTGACAAACAAATTTGCCTCGATAGATGTATTCTTGTTTTCTGAGGGAAACCTAAGATGCATGTCCTTGAAAAATGAAATGTAAGCAAAATTCCTTAATTCTTACACGCGAGAGCACGAGTGACGGTCGCGCCTCGCGCGACAGTTAATAATAGGATCCAAGGGCCCTAAAATCGACAAAGCAATAATCATTGCAACTGCATGTGCGGAGGGTTTTTCCATCTCCATAAAATTGCAAATGTTGCTGAACTAGTGTGTGTGCGCGCCGTTGACTTTGAATAAGTATCTTAGAATCGTATTTAAACGTAGTTTCATTTACAGCTACCCTTACACAAACCCCGAACGTCGGAGCGGCGTCGACAAAATCTGGATCGGACCGGACCGGACCGGATCACGGATCGGATCACGGACCGGATC